TGATGGATCTCTAATAGAGGGAGGAAGCATGAGTAAAGAAAAGAGGAGAAAGAATACAAAGAGGTAGAGTTAAGTGGGGAGGGGGTGGGGGGAGAGGGAGAGAGAGATTGGAGCAGAAAGATAAAAGGACAGTAGACAGAAACTTCAATTCCTTCTAGCGGTCAAATAGCCTCATGTCTCCTATCGATTTAAGTTTGGTTTGTTTTTTTGTTTTTTAAATTATAAAACCATTTAATTTCATAAGCAAATGACTTGTGTATTGCAATTTACATAATTATCTCAATTTTGGGTGTGAGTGTGTGTGGGTGGGGGAGGGCAGCCTCATATTCGTTATTGCATTTTGAAGGAAATTTGCCCTGAAAGGTCATTTTAATTGCCCAAGATCACACAACTGTTTTCCTGCTACACCATCATGTTTCCCTGGCTGAGATGATCAGCTCTATTCCCCGAACAGTTACCAGACCAGAGTAGGAAATAGTGACTAGAAAGAGCAGACAGCATTGGAAAATTGTTTTTCCCCCATTTTCTAAATCTTGGGTTCGTGTGTGTGTCAGTTAGTGGCGTGCCCAGAAATCAGAGACCACTCTGCACAGTTCGAAGAGGGATTTAATGCAGGGAACTGGTGATAGTGGTCTCAGAAGGGCGGAAGGAACAAAAGAAAGGCGGGTGTTACCTAGGAACTGGAAGCTGGACAGGTGCCTGGCTTGCTCCTCTTGCCAGCTGTCTGCGAGCAGAGCTGCCGCTGCTGCTGGACCGGCATCGTGCTGGGGCGGGGATGCAGGAGCTCCTAACCCTGTGCTGCTGCTGCTGCTGCTGCTGCTGCTGCTGCTGCGTTGCATCCCCACCGTGGAGCTGCGCAGAGACTGGGAGACGCAGTTATGCTGATGGTGCTGCCCTGCCTTGATGTAGGTGGGGTCTGGCACACAGAATTGCTCATACAGGGTCGTTTTCATCATCTGGATTCTTCTTCACTCACAAACTCTCTTCTGGAGCTGATATGCATCTTTGAAGTTTGGCAGTGATTTTTAGTAAGCCACTTCTGGAACGTTTCAAAGGTCTCTAGAACTCTAAAAAATTTTATTTCAGAAAATATAGTTGTAAATTTTAAAGAAAAGCACATCGAGTTTGAGTAAATAAACGGGCTTTTAAAGAAACTGAAATTTAGCACGCGCTGTTCAAAATATAACTTACTTTGATTATGGTCTTCCAGAGTCATATTCACTATAAAATATACTAAATTTTTACTTTCTTTCTCTGTTTCTCATTCTTTTTCTGTTCAGGTGCTTATCTTTCTGTTTTTCATTTCATTTGTTTGTTTTATAGTACACATGATTCTTTCTGCTTTTTATCCCTCTAACTTCTGCGTGTATGTGTTTTCCTTCCTTCCTTCCTTCCTTCCTTCCTTCCTTCCTTCCTTCCTTCCTTCCTTCCTTCCTTCCTTCCTTCCTTCCTTCCTTCCAGTTTTCTCTTTGTGTTTACTATTTTGTTTCTATGTCTAGCACAACTCTTCCCCTGGTGACTCCTAATTCCCAGGTTAGTCTCTTTTTCCTTCTTCATCCTTCAACAGGGAACAATAAAAAGCCAAAACCAATTAATTATATTTTACACTCTGTATTCATGGACTACACACATAATGTGTGGAGTAGGTTACCTATGACCACGACCAGCCTTTTTGTTGTTGTTTGTTGGCTTTTTAGTTAATATTGACGTGTTTAAAAGCAAACTATATTATTCCTTTTTTTGAACATCATTTTTTCTACACATTCCTTATTTTTAGCTAAAACTTAGCTACTGCTTAAACAAGGAAGGAAGACAAAGGAAGTTGTTGGCAGACCTAAGCTTTGAATAGTAAGAGCTTGGCACCTTTTAGTGTACCCATCTCCTTTATTTTGCAGATACAGTTTATTTTTACCTTGTTGGAGTAAGCGAAGGTTTATAGGGGATATAATGGTATTTCCATCAGAGAAATGAAAATAAAAGTTTAATAGTGTTTATGTTCCTATTTCTCAGGAGGCTCAGTATAGTTCATTGAAAAAACATGTAATTTCAAACAAGTTTACTCTTCCAATGGGACAAAATATTCTCGGTATACTATTTCCTTCCAATAGTTTCATATTTCAAATACTCTGAGACCAATAAAGGAAAGTGGAGAGAAATCGGAGGTCCCTGGAACCACGCCCTCTTGGAATTAGCTGCAGTTGTCTGGGCCTGCCTTTGAGGATTGCAGTCCTCATCTTCACCCAGAGATGAGGACCCTGGTGGGAACTGGCTTTACTACCCTGTATGCTACCAGGACCACAAAACCCTTCTCAGTCCACAAACTCGGCCACTACTTCCGAGTTCCTACTTTGAGGGTATGGTTTATAATTCTGCATTTTTTTTTTTTTTTTACAGTTAAAAGCAGAGACTTTTTAGTTCAATCTTCTACCCAGTTGAGGAATCTCTGGCGGCTCAATAATACGATGAATTATTACCCTCCTATGGGGGGAATGTTTTAGTGCCCTCAGAAGTTAACGAGATGATTAATAACAGTAACAATAACATAATGATGGCGAGTACTTCTTGAGTAATTACTGTATGGCAGGCATTGTGCTGATTGCCCTAAGAGGGAATTGTTATTAGTAACCTCCTATTAGCTATAAGGAAACTGAAACTTTGAGAAATTCTCTGACTTGTACCTTGGAGAAAAAGGCACCTCTCAACTAATCTTTCACCATAAGGGTACAGGAAACATTATTTTTTGTTCTTCAGTTTTTGGTGACTTGGATGAGACCCAATAGAACTTGCTACAAAGCCTGCAGACAGGATCCTGGGAAAACTGGCAGATGCTGGCAAAGAGTAAGAAGTGTTACCAAAGTCAGCTCTCCCGCCTCTGGACTCTGTCTCTATCTGTGGTGCCTGGTTGAGACAGGAAGGTACATTTCACTTTGTTCCTTCCTTTCCAAATTCAGGTTGATAGATGGAACAAACAAACAAACAAATAAAACATGTAAGAGTTAGATCTCTGAACTGTGACTTGTGAATTTGCTCTCAGGCATCTGTTGGTTGTTGATCGTTTTTCTCCCAGGGATAGCTGTTTCCTTCTGATTTGTCCTCTTTTGTGTCCTGAGAACTTGGCTTGGCAACAGTCACATTGGGCCCCTCAAAAATGCGGCCAGGCAGAAATATGAGTTGCCTCAGTTTATCTTTTAATGGGTCAGAGAGAGTGCAGAACCATTAGAGGCAGACCATCTGGGTTTATGCATTGCTTCTGCCTATAATCTCCACAACTTTTCCCTCCAGACCTGTGAAATGGTCCAGTTTAGACATGATTGTTTCTAGCATTCAATGTTTCAAATTCTGTTCACCATGGCACATTTTCTTCATATTAGGGGTGCCCTTCAAGTGTCCTCTAGCATCACAGACAAGATGTTGGAAGCCATCTTGCATCCATAACATCTGTTAGCATGTTATCTGGTGAGCTGGTCCGCGCTGGTTTGTCTGAGTGACTTGGCAGACCACAGCATCCTCTAGTGGTCAGATTTAAACCTCAAGAAATGTATTCTGCACATCAGAAGAAATTAGCCTACACTTCAGTGTCAGTCTTTTGCAGACCTGGGACAGCTTTTGATTGGCTATATCTGGGTTGCTATGTGATTTATTCCCCACAATATATCAGGGAACCTGATGCATCTCAAGTTCATTTAGCCCTCTGTCTATTTCTCCATTCTAGGTTAGTTCTTTATATAAGCTCAGGAATTAAATTGCTTTTCCTTTCTGTTTTCAGAAATTATTAATACTTCTTTTGGAGGCAATTATTTATTTCGCTCTTACTTGCTGTCTCTGAATATAAACATATGGGCCTCTTAATATAAGGATCTTACCTAAAGCTCCTACAGAGGAAATAGACGAGGAATAATCCACCGGAGGCGATTGCGCTTGAGACGAGGAAGCGTTACATTGGGAGTCAGCCCTGGATTCAAAGCCTAACTCTGCCATCTTATCTGCCGCTAATATGAGTCATGTTGCTTAGCTTTTCTAAGTTTACTCACGAGATAGAGATAACCTTCCAGGGTTATTATTGTGGCTGACATGTGAAGCAGAGTGAACTACAAAGAGTCCTCACGATCATTTCATTTGATTTACAGTCTCTTTCTCGACAGATCATCTCTTGGGGATGGGTTTCGTGGTAAAAGAGACCATTCCTCAAATTAATTCAGAATCAGGTTTTTGTTTCCCCTCTGGTTATCTCAGCCCAAATCCCTCAGGCCCTATGAAGCTGATCTTTAAGTCAAGCTCTATGAAGCCCTCCATCCACACCTCTGGTGCCAGCGAAAACAGAGATTTATAGCACTGCTGTTCACCTCACTCACCAGTGGGACATCGCCTCTGCTGGGGAAGAATTAGGGCTGGACGCAGGGGCTGCTCTGCAGCATAGCTGAGAAAATGTAACTTTCTGGGCTTCCTCAATGATACAGAGTCTCTGAGAAAATTGGGTCTCTCCTGAAATCTACACTCTGAGACAGAGGGAAAATCTGGGCTGATTTTCTACCAGAGAGACAGTTCTTTCAAATCTTACAGATGTGTACTTAGACCAGTGCTGGGCACAATAGATGCTCACTTAAATCCCAAGGAAACCTAAAGGGATTATTTCAGTAGTGAAAGGTGATGGGTAACATGTTTCTGGACTAGTTTTGCAACTGTTTCTGAAAATGCTAGTCTAACTCTAAATGTATTGAGGAGCTGCTGGGTCCTGGCACCAGAATCTGCAGTCACAGTTCTTGAGAGTGTGCTCAGAATGTGAGGAAGATGAGGAAGGAAAAAGAACCACGAAGGAAACCCTGTCTGAAATGACAGGATTACTGGGTTTTTATAAACTTGGTTCTCTGTCCCTGCTATAACCAAACACGCCGCTGAGAATAAAGCATACAGGAGCCACAGGGAGTATCTAGATGCATTTTATTCAACAATCAGGCAGCCTGGCCTCATGGTGACCTTACAGGATTTCAGAACGTTGGTTTTCAGCAAGGCCCTTGTTTCTTAATTAGGACAGGAATCTCACGCATCCTGTAGAAGAGATTAAAAAAAAAAAAATCTTTAACTTGGCTGACAAAAAATTGTGACTATGGGAGTAAAACAGTGAAAAAAAATTAGCTTTATTTAAAATAGATTTTTAAAAATTTACTTATTTTAGAGAGAGGAAGAAAGAGAGACAGAGAAACATCGATTTTGTTGTTCCACTTATTTATGCATTTATTGGTTGCTTCATGTATGCGCCCTACCTAACTGGGAATTGAACCCGCAACCTTGGCATATCAGGTTGACACTCTAACCACCTGAGCTACCTGGAGCGATTTGAGATTTATCCCCATTTCTCTTTCTTCCATTCATTTATTCATTAATTCATCAAATATTGATTGAGAACTATTACATATACTAGGGATATAATGAAAAGAAAAAATGTTGTCCTTACAGATCTGCTGTGAAATTACAGTGAAGCTCTAAAATTAATCTCTAATTCAGTGTTGCTTTTTTTTGCTCCTGATGTCTTTGTCCCAATTCTCATATTTCCAAGGCTAGTGCAGACCTTTGAACTGGTTGATCTCTTCCCTTAGAACTCTGGGGGTTCATATTTGTGAGTTCTCATAAAAGAAAGTCACCTCTGTGTTCCATATGACACCTGCCAGCTCCAAGCATCCTCTCCTCCAGACAAAAATGTTTCTGCTTCCCTACACCACCTTTCCCAGTCCATTTCCTCTTCTCTAAGCTAAATATTTCTAAGACCTTTCATTTGTTTGTGTGAGATTGTTTCCAGATCACTCATTCTTCTACCTATCCTCTCCTTGAATATACTGGCTTATAAAAAGTCTTCTCTTTCTCTATTACTTGAGGACATCTGACTTTCATATGTCCTGATGCATTTATTTGTCTGGACCTTGCTGGTTCCTCATTTTAGGAGTTTTTGATGCTTCCTTGTTCCATAATCATTAACCTCTCATAATACTTATTTCTGATTAGCATACACAAACACAAACATCTAAACAGAGCACTCAAGTTGGCTTCTTTTTCTCTAGCGACACTGTCCAGTGTAGTAGACACTATCCACACACAGCTATTTACATTTAAATCAGTTAAAGCTAGTTGCTATCAAAATTCAGTTTCTCCGTTGCATTAGCCACATTGTAAGTGCCAATGGCGTGGCTAGCGGCTTTCGTGTTGGATAGCACGGACACAGAGCACGTCCGTCATTGCAGAAAGTTCTACTGGAGGTGCTGAAAAGAATGTGCCAGTACAGAGTCCCGAAGAAGACATAGGCGAAGTAGGAAAAGGTCCTTACCTAACGTATCTGCCAAGCCCACAGTGATCAAGGAGATAAAAGCCCTTGTTTGTGAACCCATCACAAAATCCAACAACTAGGGGTTAAGTGGTTAAGTAAACGATGCATTTGTCTGGTGCTTTTAATGCGCAAGAGAGAGAAAGGCAGTATGGTACATCTGAAAAGAAGTTGCATTTGAGAAAGCCACATTTTCTCTGTAGACCTGTTTTCTTATTGGAAAAATACAGGAAGAGAAGTTAACATTTTCTGGCAATCAAATGTTCCTCTCATATTTGCATATATATATAATTTTTTTTTTTTTAAAGAATACAAAGAGCAAGCAGGACTGGTAGGTTTTTAATGGTAAGGGAATAGGGCGGGTGCCCCAGGTCTGTGCTCTTGTTTTTCTGATATGTTTCACTCTAAATATTGGGCCTTTTGGTCTTGGCCCTTGAACATTTCCCAAGTCTCAAGGCTGTTCTATTGCTGTCTCCTCCCCTTGGATGGAACTGTGGTGTTTGCTCTTAATGTCAACAATGTAGGTCATGAGAAAATTAACAAGTGGTTTCGAGTTCCTCTTACAAGTCTTTTTAATAAATATGTTTTTATTGATTTTAGAGAGGAAAAGAGAGGGAGAGAGTAAAACAGTGACCAGTTGCCTCCCATACACACCCTGACCAGGGCTCGAACCCGCAACTTGGATATCTGCCCTGGCTGGGAATCAAACTGGTGACCTTTTGGTGCACAGGACAAGCCAGCACCTCTTGTAAGTCTTTAAAGTGGAAATAAATTCACCACAAAGCCAACATCTAATGTTTTGGGCCTAAAACTTGAGGATATTAGATCTTGTCTCCCTGAGGACCTATTTCCACAATCCTTGTTCAACACTGAGAACTTTCTGAGATGATTTAAAGCAAACCGAGAAGAGGGTTCATGCTCCAGAGAATTTGCACAGTGGAATAATGGAAATGTATGTAGTCCTTTGAGCCTAAATCAAAGTTTTAATGCCAGGTCAGTTCCACAGTGACTGAGTTTTCTGGGTCACTTGTGGAACCTCTTGCTTTGATCACTTTACACCTTTGTTTAACCTGAAATACTTTTGTGATGCTACCAACATTTAGAGCCCCGTTTAAGTACCATCCTTTTCATGAATCCTTTCCTGACTCTGTCAGTAAGAAGACATCTGTGTCTTTTCCTCACTCCTGTAGCAGTTTGCTCACAGCTCATTTGGTGGCATCTGTCACAAGTTGCAAACAGCTACTTTATTTGTGCTCATGATCTATTTCCTCTTATTCATAATCACAAGAAAAGCAGAGGAGACCAGCATGATGCTCGGCACATGTTAAGTGTTCGGTAGCTGAGCAAGATACAAAATCTGTGGCAAATCTGTTTTTCTGAGTGTTTGAGTGCGGTTCCCATCGCTGACCTATAATCACTTTAGAAAATGAGTTTCAGTGAGGCTGGCTCTCATGTCCATAAATAAAAGTGTTACAAAAATGTTTTGGTCACCTAATCTTCATAATTCATATTTGAGGTTTTAGTAAACACAATCATTATCACCTAGAATTTTTATTTTTATTTATTTTTTTGTCCTCACCCGAGGACATTTTTGCATTTATCTTCAGACAGAGTGGGAGGAAGTGAGGGGGGAAGAGAGAGAGAGAAATGTCCATGTCACAGAGACACATAGACTGGTTACCACCCACATGACCCCAGCTGGGGCCGGGGACAAACTGCAACCGAGGTACGTGCCCTTAGTGGGAACCGATCCTGGGACTCTCTGGTCTGCGGGCCAACACTCTAACCACTGAGCAAAACTGGCCAGGGCTCCCCCAGAATATTTTAAATGGAAGAGTATTTTGGGTGTATGAGCTTTTTAAAAACCCAGACTATATACTATTTTGCTGTGAAAGCATGGCTTTTTATTATACAAGTGTTTTTGTTTTGTTTTTTAAATATATAAGAGAACCATTCAAACACCTTTCCTCCTCTGTTCCATTGTTCTCAACATATTTTATGTTTCACTATATTATTAATTCCTGTCTCTCTTTTGTTATTTTTTTCCCCCTTCTTATTTCTGTCCTTCTTTTAGGCACTGAGAAATCCTCTGATTTTCCCAAGGCCTAGCAGGCATAATTCATTGTTTATAATTGTCTGCTGTCAGCTCACTGTGCTGAGACGTCCATTGGCCACACTGTTCGTGTTGCATGTAAGCGAGTTGAGAGACAAAGCTGGTAGGATTGTCTTCTGAATCTCACAAATCCTTAGCCTGGTACCTGACTTTGAAGTGTGTTGGAAAGAGTTCTGCCACTTACTACTGGGTGATCTTCAGCAAGTTATGTAGAGTAACTGCGTCTCAGTTTCTTCGTGGGTAAAACGGGCTTAGTATTATTTACCTCAGAGACTCTTTGTGAATATTAAGTGCTTTGCACACAATAGATATTCTTTTCTATCAACATATACACGCACACGCACCCCTCTCTCTATAATCATACCAGACATATGATAGGGAGAAAAAAAGATTGACAATTATTTTTGAAAAACTAGATGTTTTGTGTCTCTTGTGGTAAAATGGATGATATTGATATTTGATTGGCACTTCAAGGAATAAGATATATGAAAATTTGAAGAGAACTACCTTCAAATATATTTTGCAAGAAATTTAAATTTGTACTCACTTATTTTCCATACATAACTGGCACTCGTTAGAATAAGTCCGTCCATCAGTTCCACAGACGGGGTTATAGATCTTGGTACATCCGTTCACATTGGTGTTACATACAGCCTGGACATGGAATTGAGCAGAATCATTTTCCACGCTTTGAGTGTACAACAAAATATCCCAAATGGTTTTTACCACCCTGGAGTGGCTCCGCTCACAGAAGGAAACATGAGTGGGATTGGGAGAGCGAGACTGAGTGTCCAAAGAGAAAGAATGAAAGACTTGGAGTCAGAAGCCTGGTTCAAAATAATGCCTATGCCATTTACAAGTTGTTTGACATTAGTAACTCGCTTGGTGTCTCTGAACCTCAGTCACTTTATCTGCAAAATGGGAAGGAAACCATGTATCTCATCATGGTTTTATGAGGTTTTAATAAGGTGAGTGAGATCATGTTCAAGTTTATAATTACTGTAGGTGCTGGCTCCTCTCAGGTCAGCCACCATGGGGCATGCTGTTCCTCGCGCACCTCCAGGGGTGGGGAAAGCCCGGCCAGCAAGCCATGTAAGCTAAGACCAGCTAACATCACACACCTCACCAAATCAGCCTGGCTAATTTTGCAGGCTAATTTTGCAGGCTAATTTTTAAGTTGAGTGTTTTCTATGGCCCGCAAATGATGTTATAAATATCCAAATGGCCCTTGGCAGAAAGAAGGTTCCCCACCCCTGTGTGTAGTCCATTCGCTTAGTCACTTGAAGACACTACACGCCTTCCACCCGTGGAGTCTTTGCATGGCCGATTCCCTCTATGTGAATAAGTACTAGTAACTGTTGAATGACTGTTACAGGCCAGAGGCTGTCCCAAGTACTTTTTACTTATGATTCAATTAAAAACCCACAGCTATTCTATACACTCTATTTCTGATGAAGAGAGTGAGACACAAAGAGATTAAATTACCTGTGGCCACACGGCTATTAATTTCTGGATCCAGGATTCAAATCCAGCCAGTGTAGGTCCTAGGATTTAGCTCAACACAATAAATATTCTTTTCTATCAACATACACACACATGCACATGCACACGCACCCCTCTGTATATAATCATACCAGATATGTGATAGGGAGAAAAGAAGATTGACAATTATTTTTGAAAATCTAGACGTTTTGTGTCTCTTGTGGTAAGATGAACGATATTGATATTCGCCCTACCTCTTCTCCTCACCAGTTACATTTCACTAACACCCCGCTACCCTTCATGGCTCAAAATACATCTCACGTACTTAGGGGCACTTTCCACAATCGCTCGAACTAGGGTAGGTTCCTAATGGTATCAGAACTTCTTTAGACCACTCATCAATCACCGATGTAATAATTTATTCACTATGTACTCTATCTGCTTGCTCACTAGATAGGAATGTAGTGAGAAGAAAGACACTTTTTCCTTCAGACAGAATATTTTTAGATATCGATGTAGAACATTTTTAGATAATTGTATACAGAACGGTTTTTCTAGAGGAAGAAGCTAGTGTATGATATTCCTCTGTTCATTATGAATTAGAGCGCCACCTTGGTGTGTGGGAAACAGGAGGCCAACGGGGGGCATATAAGGAGCAAAGGCTATTTGGAGAGAAGTTAAGAAGGCTTCCACCCACGTCTCTGTCCTTCCAGATAGCCCTGGCACGTATAAAATCCCTCCACAGCGAGCGTCATGTGACTACATAGAAACCGTCTGCATAGCAGTGACTTTGTCCTTCTGCAAGCAGTGACTTTGTCCTTCTGCAAGAGCCCCGTGGGGGGAGCTGCTGTTAGTCTCTGCATTGTCTAGGTTAAGCCTGGCTGGCTCCCTGCTCCTCCTCTGGACTTCAGGCTGAGCTGAAAGGTGACTAGAGTGCTTGGGGTGGACCAAAGAGCTCTAGCCTGAGAAATAAGAGACTACAAGGTTGCCTTTACCTTTGTTCCCAGGACCTCAGCTCTCGCGTGGTTACCTAGAAAACATAAATGGGACGGGTGAAGTTGGGTCCTGAATGGGAGAAGCTAGGTCCATTCTAGTCAGAATTCTCTCCTGCCCTGTGAGACTGTGACTTCTTTGCTGGCCCCTTCCACACCCTACTCTTTCTTATGTCTTCGTTCTCTCAAGGATGTTTCACTGGTGTCCGCTCACACCCTGCCTGCCGAAACCTCAAAACATTAAGCAAAAATGTGATTATGACCAAAGTATCTCAATTTGGTGTTTCAGAAACATTGACCCAATTCCTTGAAGATAGAAATGATGTGCTGAAAGGTGTTAGGCATTGGGCAGATATCTTCCGGATACTCGCTGACATTCCCACAACCAGTCACTTAGGCCTGTGATCTCACTATTAGTGACATCGGAATTACACGTATCTTCAGCTCAGTTTGCTGGGGAAGTTCACGTGGCTAGCTGGGAACCACCACTAGCAGTAACCAGGTCAAAACTAACTTTTGCAATTACATGTAAGTCTCCTTTTGTAAGTAATGTTAATAAAATATGTTTTCCTTCATTCTATATTAAAATGCCTCTTTCTATAATCCTCATCCATTGATTTCATTTTGTCTCATTGGGACCAAAAGTTCTGTTCAAGACTAGGCTCTGTCTTAAGTCTGGAAGGCAATGGGCCCAGTGAAGCCACAAGTCAAAAGGTTTGATTCAAATCAGAAAAACGTGCAAAGACACCTACCAGATAAACTCAACAGGGCCAAGGCACCGAGAAGCAAGGTGACTGTTATCTTCATGGCTGAAGTTTTGTGTGCAGAGCTCAGCTGAACACCAGACCGAACTTACCACTTCTTGTCAGAGCCCTTGGACTGGAGGGTTATATGGGCAGGATGGCAGCCCGGGCCCCACCTGCTGCCCCGTGTCACGGGGCTCCTTGGTTATTGATTGACTGCGTGGTGGAGCCTGGCCCCCAGGTTCGGGCAATGCCACCTGTGTAGGAAAGGGGACAGCAATGCCCTGGGCCTGACATGTGCAGCCGGGTCAGGAAAAGAGTTCTGGTCGTCAGGCGGCTGGTTCTCTCCGTAGCCGCTGCTGTGACTTTGGGGAGGACTTTCTTTTCCACAGCCTCATTTTTTTCCTTCTGGTCCCTTGCACTCTGTAGTTCTGGATATCCGAACAGGCGTGGCTATTTTAAGAAACCCTTTCCATTTTTTCTTACTTTTCTTCAGCTTTTCCCTTTTTTATCTTTCCTCTCTTTCAGTGTCACCCTTTCACAAAGCCTAAAGCAGCTGGTAGAGGGACAAGCGAGAGACAGGGAGGACTCAGTGCCTTGAGGTGTGTGTGCGCTTGCCAGGGACACTGGCTGGCTCTGTGGTACTGGAGATGCAGTTTACTTTTGCTGCATCTCTATTTATTCATCTGAGACCTGGACTAATAATAGTACCTAACTCAAAGTGTTGACCTCTCATTCAAAAAAGTGTGCTGTGTCTACCAGGTGTCACTGGGAAACAATTCCCTTTCTCCTGTTTGTGTGTTTTGTGAGCAGAGGCACCAACTGCCTGTGTTTCAGCCCTTTTCTCGAGTGTTTGTAGCCTGGCTGGTGCTACAAACTGAGGCTGGTTGAATGCCGTCCCCTGTATGGAAAGGTTGCTGGTTTGGTTCCGGTCAGGGTACATGCCCTGATTGTGGGCTCGATTCCTAGTCGGGGGCTTACAGGAGACAGCAATCAATGTTTCTCTCTCGTCATTGTTTCTGTCTCTTCCTCTCCCTTCCTCTTCTGAAATCAGTAAAAACATATTTTTAAAAATAAGAGTGTTTGTATAACAAATGACCTTGGAGAGTAGAATAGTGTCCCCTTTGGAATGAAGGGGACGTTTGTATATGTTCAGTGTAATAAAGATTCTGTCTCCTTCCAGGGCAAAGCTTAGGTAGGCATGGTGCCCCTTTAAAAGCAGTCGGGGTTTTTAAAGCTGGCATCCGGCTCTTGTCACACACTGCACTTCTGTTCAGGTACCAGCGGGTCCTTTTCACGTCACCCTGTGGAAATGGGGGCTTGGGGAACCAGAACGATCATTGACACTCTGACTACTGCTGTTCAATAATTAAGTCCCTTTTCTCTGACCCAAGAGTTTGTGTCTCCTGCCAGCATCCATTCCACCGTGGCAGGCTGACTTGTTAGCTTCCAAGAAGGGTAAAATCCCAGATCTCCACATATATCAAGAGCTGTACTCATCTCGGGGGATATATCAGTGAATAGCAACCACAGTCTCTACCCTCATGGGGCTTCCATTGAATTTTAGATGGGGAGATAGGCAATAAAAATAAATAATTATGAAGTATGTCAGATTGTGATACATATCATGGAGAACCTTGATAGAGAGGATAAACGTGCTGGAGGATTTGGGAGATGGTTCTTGTAGATGGGCCAGAGAAGGTCTTGCTGATCAGTGGCATTTGAACAGACATGAAGGAAGTGAGGCATTTGCACCAAGGGAGTATCTAAGAACAAGCACCCCAGACAGAGAGAGGCAATAGCAAGTGCAAAGGCTCCGAGGCAGAAACTTGCTTGAGATGTTGGAGAAATACCCAGGATGACTGGTGCAAAGGGATGGAGAGAAACAGGTGGTAAGATAAGGGACGCAGTGGGGGAGGGGGGCTCGATAAGAAAGGCCTTTGCTTTTTGACCAAAGGGACAGCCGTTGGAGAGTTATGGCAGAGGAATGAGAAGATGCGGTGTTTGCTCTAAAAGGTCCCTTTATCTGCTCTAGGAGAACAAAGCAGAAGGAAGTGCAGCAGCAGGGAAACCAGCTGCTAGCCTATTGTAATAGTCCAACCAAGAGATGATGATGAAAGTAGAAGAAGCCGATTTTGCAGCTTAGGTGAATCGAAACCTGTAAAGCTTTGATAACAGTCTCTAGCACCTGGCAAACACTTGGAAATATTACCCATTGCTATTATTTTTTTTTATTAATTAATTTTTTTGTTACAGATGTTTCTCCTCCCCCCTCCCCACTGATTCCCTCCTTTATTTTTTTAAAATATATTTTTACTGATTTTTTTAGATAGAGAGAAAAGGAAAAGGGGAGGGGGATAGAAACATCAATGTGAGAGAAACATCAATTGGTTGCCTCCTGCATGCCCCCTACTGGGGATTGAGTCTGCAACCTGGGCATGTGCCCTGACCAGGAATCAAACAGGGACCTCTCAGTCCATGGGCTGATGCTCAATCTACTGGGCCCATTACTATTATTATTATTCTTTTTTCTTTTGTTGACTTTAGAGAGAGAGGAAGTGAGAGGGACAGAGAGATAGAAAAATTGATGGGGGAGAACATCAATTGGCCGCTTCCTGCATGCCCCCCACTGGGGATCAGGCCCACAACCTGGACATGTGTCCTGACTGGGAATCAAACCGGCGGCCTCTTGGTGCATGGGTTGATGCCCAACCACTGAGCCACAACAACCAGACCACCAATATTATTTTTATTGTTATTTTTTCAGTATTTATAATGCTGTTTCATCTAACCAGAATGCTCCTCTTTATGCTTACACTTGAATAAATTCTTCCTAAGAGTTTAGGACTCAGTTTGAATGTTGTTTCTTATTGGAAAACTTCCTTAGCTCATTCTGGGCTTCTGTGACATTTGAGCATACCTGAGTATAAAATGTAAGTCACTGAAGAAACTGCTTGCATATATGACTACTTCTCCCATCTTCCATTTATGCTTCAACCTTCACATTCTAGCTTTCTTCTTTACTACTCTACTGATCTTGTTTTTGTTTAGGTCACCAATTCAGGTTGATTCATTCCTTGCAGATTCTTTCAGAGCACGTGGCTTCTAATATTCTTCACCCTCGATCACACTCAATATCATCTCTTTCCTTGGGTCTCAGGACTATGCAGTCCCCTACCTCTCCTCAATCTTCTCCATCCTCATGTCCTCTCCACCCTCTTTATTGATTCTTTTCCCTCTACTGTGTAAAGACTTGGAGTTTCTCAAGTATTGGCTCTGGGCCCTATTCATGCCTCACCTTTCATTTTCCTTAAGCGAGCTCATTCATTCACATCGTATAAGTGATATATATCTCCAAAATATGTATCTCCATCCTAGATCTCTCCTCTGATCTTCGGACCAGATATTAAGTGCCCGCTTGACAGTTTGGACATCATATAGGTACTTCAAAATTACTATGTCCTAATTACTGTTTTTAAAAAATATTTTCTCCCTTAATTGATTTTAGAGAGAAAGGAAGGGAGAAGGAAAGAGAGATAGAAACATTAATGAGCGAGAACATTGATTGGCCTCCTGCTGCATACCCCCCACTGGGAAATCAAGCCCACAACCCAGGCATATGCCCTGACCAGGAATCGAACCAGGACCTCTCAGTCCATGGGATGATGCTCAATTCACTGAGACACACTGGCTGGGCTATACTGCTGTTTTGATCATTCACAACAAAAATTGTTTTTCAGTCCCTTTATCACTTCTTTTTCTTCTGAGTGGTTGGTCAAGCCAAAACTTAAGTGTTCTCCTTGATGCCTCTCTTGGCCTTACCATGCACCATCCTACACACTTAATTTTTACCAAGTTCTATTCTTGAATCTGTGTCCAAAATAACCTCAATGCTGGACACTTCTCATCATCTGACACTGTCTTTTCTAATATGATGTCAATCCCCCTTTGGCTTTCTGAAATTTCCTTCAAGTTGTCGCCTAAGAGAATCTACTATTATTTTTTCCTCAAAGTTGCTATCCACAGGACAGTCCAATGATCTTTATAGAATGCAAATGTGATCATACATTTCTAGTTTCCCTTTGTTCAGAATCCTCAGTGAGGGTTTAGGTTCTGCGTGATTCGGTTCCTTACTACCCCTCTCACTTCCCCCCACTCATTTCCTCCTCTCCCGTCTATCAAACTACATGGATCCTTTCTCTGTTCCATCTTAATAAGGGAGCAAAGAGCTTCTCGCTTCTAACCTTCAAACTCAGGCTAAACAGCATTTTCTCACGGAGCTGCTCTTCCAAGTTCTCCCTCACTGTCTTCTGCATCCAGATGAGGCTTTGCTATTATACGATTTCATGGTGTCCTGCATATCACTTCAATTTTACTCTATGACTCTTTTTACAATGATCATATAATGTATTTTTACCTTTAGGGAACAGATACAGTTGTTTTGCAGTACCTAATAAAGTGCCTGGAAAATTGTAACTTCTAAATAAACACTTATTGAAAACATGAATTAAGTCATATATATAAATTTTCTTAAAAACGCAGCTTTATGCCTTGTCCATTTCTGTGTCTCCTATAGAATAGTCCTTCATCGGTTCATTCAGTTTTATTTATTCATTGATTGTTACAATCCAAATATTCATCAAATTCCTACTGTTTCAGATCTCTGGCCTGTGAGCTAGGGAAATGGGTACGATTTCTGCCCTCATGGGGTGTAGGTAAGCCTTGATATACATGGATTGGATGCATCAAGTTTTTTCTTTTCATCTTAAATGATAACTTAAGTAGTTTTGTTTCCAACAGCCACTGTACAGGGGGTTAATACTCGAGAAAAGGAATTTTTCTGTGCTCTCCCAAGCAGTCTGAGGAGAAGAGAATCGGCTGGCGCAGGAATTCTCCAGGTCATAATAACAGCAGGAAGAGTGTTCAGATTTAGACCTGTCTTGGATGCCAAAGCCAGGGCTCTTCCCACCAAACACTGATTACTTTAAGCATTTTGACTGTGGACCGAAGTTAAGAAAATAAACCTTGTGTTCTGGTCTAGTGTATGTATACATATGTGGACAA